CAAGCCTATGATCTTAACTGCTCTGCAGCTATCCAGATAATAAGCAAAGGTGGAGATTTAAAAACCAGGAACTATTGAGAGTTTGGAATCCTGGGGTGTTGCTGTGGGTTAATGCGCTGGACTGCAAAGTCAGTGTGAACCACAAGGTCAGTGGTTCAAGCTCACCAGCCACTCCTTGGAAACCCTATAAAGGGTTGCTATGGGTTGGAACTGACTTAACAGCACTTAACAACAACAACAATATTGGGGAATGTTTCATGTAAAAGGAGGATTCTGGCAGCTATGAGGAAAATTGTTAGAAACGAGAGTCTCATGTTCAAGAAACTAACCTGAGCCTGTTCCCACTACCTAAGCAAGCTGGGTAGACTCCTGGTGTGGCGCTATGGGTTAATGCACCAAACTGCAAAGCCGTTTGAACTGCAAGGGTGGCAGTGCTGCTCCTTAGAAACCCTATACAGGGTCGCTATGGGTCGGAACCGACTCGACAGCACTTAAAAACAACAACAAAGCAAAATGGTAGACTGAGGCAGCATAACTTAGAAATGAAGTGAAATTGATTAGGCCTGGTGACAGTGGGAAGTGAGATTGAGGTTAGGAGCTGAGGTTGATTCCAGTTTCCTCACTGGGGAGGTGGTTAGCTGGCCATGTTTTTTACTGACATGAAGGAGTTTTGTTTGGGACACATACTGAATTTGGTATACCCAACGGAGAAAAGATTGAAGTTGTCAAGGACTTCATTCTTCTTGGATCAACTATCAACACTCATGGAAGCAGCAGTCAAGATATCAGACGCCATATTACATTGGGCAAATCTGCTGCACAGGAACTTTTTAAAGTGTTGAAGAGCAGAGATGTCAGCTTGCGGACTAACGTGCGCCTGACCCAAGCCATGGTATTTTCAATAACCTCATACGGATGCGAAAGCTGGATGGTGAATAAGGAAGATCGTAGAAGAATTGATGCCTTTGAATTGTGGTGTTGGAGGAGAATACTAAAAGTGCCATGGACTGCCAAAAGAACCAATAGATCTATTTTGGAGGCCAGGATGGCTAAGCTTCGTCTCTCATACTTTGGACATATTGTCAGGAGAGAACAGTTGCTGGAGAAGGATGTCATGCTGGGCAAGATGGAGGATCAGAGAAAAAGAGGAAGACCCCCAACGAGATGGATCAGCCAGGTGGCATCATTGATGGCATCAAGTGTGGCAGCGGTGGTAGGGTTGACCCAGGATCGGACATTGTTTCATTCTGCTGTGCATGGGGTCGCTGTGAGTCGGTTCTGACTCAATGGCACCAGACAACAACAACAAAAACATGGTGCAAATAGCTAAGTGTCTGACAAGTAGCCAACTGATTCACGGTTCAAAGCCACCCAAAGGCACCTTGGAAGACAGACCTGGGACCTCCCCTTTGAAGCAGTTCTACTCTGCACACATGAGCTTGCCATGAATTAGGATCAACTTGATGACAACTGCAAAACAACCACATGGAGTATCCCAGTTAGGATAGCCAGCGCTTGGAAATTAGATTTTTAGCTCAGAAGAAAACTATAGTGTAAATATATAAGGTAAAGTTGTGGTGGTAGGTGATTTCACCTTTTGAGGTGGATATGAACTCGGGGAGATCTTTGTGAGGGATGAATGGGCACCAGAGGAGAATATGGTAAGAGAACAGCCATAAAAGAGAAATATAAAAGAGACAGCATTTAAATAAAGTGAGAGAGCTACAGCATTGCCTCAGACAGCATGTTATGTGACTACGGCTCCTGCAAGGCTCCCCAGTTCCAGTTGTCACCATTTCCTCCCATCCTTGCCCCTTCTGAGTTAGGATCAGCAATCAAATCCCAAAGTTGCTAGTTCCTAGATGACCCCTTCCCTTATTGTTTACCACAATCTAGCACACATCTCTGTAAATAGTATGTTTATTCAGTTAAATGCTTTGAGTTTGCTATCTCTTTTCTGCCTGGACCCTGAGTGATAACAAGAATTTTCCATAATCCTTTCCCCACCTTGTCTTCATGAGTCAACATGAATAGTGACTAATAGCTGCTGCCAGCATCCATTTTGCACTTTGTCCTTGGTAGCAGAGTCCTAGGCAGTGTGTCTCATGGAAAAACATTTTCCAGCTTCACTTGATACTATGTATATATATATATGGCCATGTGACTAAGTTCTGGCAACGTAAGCAGAAATAGCATATGGGATTTGGGGGAAGGCTCCTAAGTAGGCAACCCTTTCTACCCTTCCCTCCTTCCTTTTGCCTAAAATGTGGATGTGATGGCTCAAGTTCCAGGAGCCATCTTGGATGAAGTCACAATGAAAATAGACATGGCGCACGGAAAATTAGAAAAGCAAGAAGATAGAATTTCTAACTTCATGTGGTTATAAACATGCGTTATTATTGTTACAAAAAAACCCCAAACAGACCCATTGCCATCAAGTTGATTCCAACTTGTTTCAGCCCTATTGGACAGAGGAGAATTATCCCCTAGGGTGTCCAGAGCTGTAAATCTTTAGGGATGGAGCCCTGGTGGCACAATGATAAGCACTCACTATTAACCAAGAAATCACTGGTTCAATTCTACCAGCTACTCTGCAGGAGGAAAATGAAGCAGTGCATCCATAACTAATTACAATCTTGGAAATCCAATGGTCACGTCTACTCTGTTCCGGAAGGTTGCTAAGAGTCAGACTTGACTCAACAGCACTGTGTTGAAATCTTTAAGCAAGCAGATTGCCCCATCTCTTTCTCCCACAGAGCTATTGGTGGGTTTGAACAGTCAACTTTTGTTTTTAGCAGCCGAGCACTACCCAGTGTGCCACCAGGGATCCTATTATTATTGGTGTTGTTGTTAAGTGCCGTCGAGTCAGTTCCAACTCATAGAGACCCTGCATAGGGTTCCTGAGGAGAGGTTGGTGAATTTAAACTACCAACCTTGCAGTTCAAACCAACCTTGTGGTCCAGTGCATTATCCCACAGTGCTACACCAGGACCCCATTATCATTATTATTATTATTTTATGATAATAAATCAAAATCCTATCATTAGTTTATAGCTGCAGACTTGCATCCGTAAGTAGCTGGGGTTAATTGTGACCTTTTTGTTATTTGAACATATTAAGTTTTTAAAAAATTTTTTACTAGAGGATAAGGTGTGCTTGGTTTTCTTTTTATCAAATAAGTTTACTCTTAAATGACACACATCCTTAGAGACTTTAAAACAAAACCTTTCATAATATTTAGCTGTTCTTAAATGTCAGGTGCGGTTGAGTTTATTGCATTGTGAAGCCCTGTGCCAGTGCCCAGAGTCTCCTGCTTTTAATGGTACTTAACAGATTGCCAGTAAATTGATAGCATTTCCATATTTGGAAAATGTCCAACCTACTCATGGGAAAGGAGGGCAGGTGTTTTCCTTTAACATGGTAAAGACTTCCTTTTTTGCATTTGATCAGTTTAAAGGGAGGTGTATGAACTGAGAACTGAGAAAAAAATCTCAACAGCCTGAACCCTAGAAAAAGATCAGGGCTCATTGGATTCATACACTATGCTGACTCTAAACCAGAGAGCGTACTTGAAGCAGGGATAGTTTAAATACATCAGGGAAAACACAGAGTGAGTCTTAGACTTTTAAGTTCTGTAGAAGCCTCTGATAACACATCCCAGGCATGCTACACATTTACTTACAGGAGTGGTTAAAGAGGGCAGTGCGATGAATTGGGCGGCTCCCACTTGGGGTGAAAAGACACAGGTTTCATTTCTGGCCCTTTCATTTCTTCTTATGAGTTTCATGACCTTGAACAAATTCTCACTTCTGACTTTTATTTTATGCTTGAAACATGGGTAATAAAAAACCAGCCTCAGTCCCCAGTATAGATTTTCTTGACAATCAGTCTGTATGATAATGCATGTGGCTCATTGAACCCTCGACACAAATGTTAGGCACTGCTGCTTGTAAAAGGATTCCTTGAGAAATTTCTGCCAAGTGATCCTTTGATATCCTGATTTAAGTAACTGTATGTGTCTGAAAATAATATAGCTAATGTTGATTGATTGGAATTAGACAATCTTTGGGTTTCTCTCAGTAATTTGAGGTCTACAGGACAGTACAGGCAATGAATAGGTGAAAAGATGTTGGAGCCAGAGGGTTCAAACCCTGCCTCAAGACTTTCTAGTTGTATGGTCTTAGGCAAGTTACATTACCTCAGTTTCCCCACAATAATATAGAAATAATAGTAACAATGTGAGGACGAAATGAGATCCTAACATGCAAAGTGCTTGATTGTAAACCCTCAACAAGTTTTACTTGTGTTGGTTATGATTCCAAGCAGTTTCTTAGAAATACAGTTGACCCTTGAAGAACATGGGCTTGAACTGCACAGGTCCGTTTATAAACTTTAAGTGGATACTCTCAGCACTTGAGCTCACCACAGTAGCAACACACACACACACACACACACAAATTCTTGCCCAAATGAACCTATGTAGTTCAAGCCTATCAAGGGTCAGCTGTAGTCTAAAATTCAAGGTTTTCATTGAATTATACAAAATTTATCTCCCTCCTTCCAATTTTGTTGCATTTCATTTTGAGAAGCAAATAAAAAGAATTAAACCATGCCTACTATTATGCTGGAGTCCTGGTGTGGCGCTGTGGGATAAGCAGTCCACCACAAGGTCAGTTTGTACCACAAGGTCGGTGGTTCAAATCTTCCAGCCACTCCTCAGAAACTCTACACAGGATCTCTATGAGTGGGAGTTGACTTGATGGCACTTAGCAACAACAACCATTATGCTATGTGTAGCATCTGGAAATATCTGCAGTTAGCAACTCCAGTGACATTTTCTGTCTCTCATTTAAATGGCTGGTTGTATTTGAAGGTTTGTGTAAAAAAAGTTGTTAGACAAGAGTTTGATAGAACTTGAAACAAGGTTAAATTGAGTTATAATAACTTGAACTGAATATGCTTAACCTTTTATTGCATTCTGTTGTTTTCTTTCTCCTTAGCCCACACCTGAAGTTTAATAATCTCACCCTGATTTCCACCCATGGACTTCCAGGAAAGAATCTTCTGGCCACTGAACAAAGAAAGTTTTTAGCAAGCGAGTATGAATCCTGTTGGTTTTTTCATTCTGTGGCCTGAATGTCCTAGTTTGTGGGCAGTTGTTTTTAGCCTACATGTTGGATTTCATACTGGAAAGGGGAAATGCAGTAGGATTTTCTGCTGGAATTCAGATGTTACTCAGGAGATTCTAGCATAAACCAATTAACAAGTACATAACAAGTTAAAGTAAGGTTTACTGTTATTGTTGTTAAGTGCAGTCAAGTTGGTTCCAACTCATAGTGACCCTGGACAGGGTTTCTGAGGAGCAACTAGGGTGTTTGACTGCCAACTTTATGATTACCAGTCCAGTGCTTATCCTACAGCGCCACACCAGGAGTCCAAGGCTAGTGACTAATATATTGAGCAGCCCACGTACAGAACATTTCCGTCATCACAGAAAGTTCTAGAATTAAAATCTGACCTTGTCCCTTATCTAACCTCATCTTTTACTAGTTTTTCCTGTTGTTCTGGCAACTGTGGCCATGCCAGCCTTCTCCATATTCCTCAGACACATCGGGTAAATTCCCACCTGGCCTGTCTGCTTTTTTCCAAGTCTTTACTTACATGTCACCTTTTCCATGAAGGCTGCCCCACCTACCTCCTTACTTTACAATCAACCTCCTCAATGCATTCTAGTGCCCCTTACCTTGCTCTGTTTTTCCCTTGATACTGAAATTCTTCTAAATGTTATATCATTTGCCTTGAAAAATGATGTCCATTCTTTATATTCCAAATTTTTCAAGTATATTGTAAACTCTTGATGGTCGGAGATTTTTGCCTTTCTGTTCACTGTCCCAGCACTTGGACAGTGTTTTGCACATACCAGGTACACAGTAAATAATGCCCAGTAGATGAAAGTTCCCTCTCAAAATGCCTACAGTTGTTCTCTCAGGTAAGCTATAGACAGACATTAAATAGTACAGCCCAGTGACATTGGATGGATAACTATTTGGATGTAATCTTAGTTCTTAAAAAGGACAGATTGAATCTTCAGCAGGATGTTGCTTGTCAAATGGTTCCCATATCCCGATAAGGATTATCTCTGGTAATGAAGTTTCAAAATAGTAAATGCAAATGACATGTATAAATTTAATAATTAAATTCCTCATTACAAATACTAATTTTCCATTTTTTCTCCAGCCAGTGTTTTTATGTTTTTGTTTTGTAATGGTTAACTTTGCCTCTTGCCCTGTTTAACTTATGGTGGAAGTGCTAATGACGTGCCTAGGATGCAAACAGGAGGAAGGCAGTAGGAGAAAGACAGGAAGCAGGAACAATCCACTAATTAGGCCATCAGTCCTGAGTAATTGCAAGTTGATGGTGATGGTCTTTCTTTTCTGAGTGTCCCAATAAATCCTTTATGACAACCTCTGAGTTTCCTGTCAGTATTGAGGGGTTTTGATTATACAAGTGCAGGTCTCCACAGTACTTATAATTGCTCATTTCAAGTTTGCTTCTAGATCTGCACCTGTAGCTTTGGGCTAAGTTTTCTGATCATTAAGTTTTGTGACACCATCAACCATGAGTGCGCTGGTCGATCTTCAGATGTATCCTCTTCTAGAAATTTCCCCATCCAGGACTTTTGCAATTTTTGCCTCTTTGTTATCTGTCTCTAGGATTTTTATGAAACCAACCTTTTGCAGTATCTGAGAATCAAGTTCATACTCATATGAAGTTGCATCAGTTGCCTTAGATTTCTTCTCTTTCCCAGAGAACCCTGGTGGAGGTATTTCTTTTGTCTCCAAGTCATAAGACAGCCTTTCCATGCTAGACTATTAATGCCCATTAACTCTGCTTAGGAAGTAATTTTGGAGAATTATAGCGAACAGTCTTCAATAGTAGTTTCATCTACCTGTTGTTGTTGTTGTTGTTAAGTGCTATCAACTCAGTACCAATCCTATGCACAACAAAATGAAACACTTCTCGGTCCTGTGCCAACCTCACATCCATTGCTACATTTGAGCCCATCAGTACTGCCACTGTACCAATCCATATTGATGGGGATCTTCCTCTTTTTTGCTGACCCTCCATTTTAACAACCATGATATCCTTCTCCAGGGACTGGTCCTTCCTGACAATATGTCTGACATATGAGAGACCAAGTCTGGCCATCCTGGCTTCCAGGAAGCATTCTGGCTGTACTTCTTCCAACACAGATTGGTGTGTTCTTTTGGCAGTCCATGTTGTTGTTGTCAGGTGCCATCGAGTTGAAACCAACTCATAGTGACCCCATGCACAGCAGAACGAAACAATGTCTGATCCTGGGCTAACCTCACTACCGCCACCACACGTGATGCCATCAATGATGCCACCTGGCCGATCCCTCTCTTTGGGGGTCTTCCTCTTTTTCTCTGGCCCTCCATCTTACCCAGCATTATATCCTTCTCCAGCGACTGTTCCCTCCTGACAATATGTCCAAAGTATGAGAGACGAAGTTTAGTCATCTTGGCCTCCAAGGAGCACTCTAGCTGCACTTCTTCCAAAACAGATCTATTGGTTCTTTTGGCAGTCCATGGCACTTTTAGTATTCTCCTCCAACACCACAACTCAAAGGCATCAATTCTTCTACGATCTTCCTTATTCACCGTCCAGCTTTCGCATCCATATGAGGTTGTTGAAAATACCATGACGTGGGTCAAGCGCACCTTAGTCCTCAAGGTGACATCTTTGCTCTTCAACACTTTAAAAAAGTTCCTGTGCAGCAGATTTGCCTAATGCAATACGTCGTCTCATCTCTTGACTGCTGCTTCCACGAATGTTGATAGTTGATCCAAGAAGGATGAAGTCCTTGACAATGTCAGTCTTTTCTCCGTTGATAAGAATGTTGTTTATTGGTCCAGTGGTGAGGATTTTTGTTTTCTTGACATTGAGATGCAATCCATAGTACTTTTAATTTTCTCTTCCAATACTGTAACTCAAATGCATCAATTCTTCTATGGTCATTCTTATTCACTGCCCAAGTTTCACATGCATGTTATTGTTGTTAAGTGCTGTCAAGTTGGTTCCAACCCGTAGCAACCCTGCATAGAGTTTCCTAGGAGCAGCTGGTGAGCTTGAACTACTGACCTTGCAGTTCAAACAGCTGTGCAGTCTGGCGCATTAACCCACAGCACCACACCAGAAACTCCTTCATATACATATGGTGGTGATTATGTGCCATGGAGTCGGTTCCGACTCACAGCAACCTTGTACAGGGTTTCCGAGGCTGTAAATCTTTACGAGAGCAGAAAGCGTTATGTTTCTCCTGTGGAACAGCTGGTAGTTTCAAACTGCTGACCTTAAGGTTCGCAGCCTGATTCATAACCACTACACTACACATGCATGTGAAGTTATTTAAAATGCCATGGCTTGAGTCAGGCAAACCTTAGTCCTCCAGCTGACATCTTTGTTCTTCAAAACGTTAAAGGGGTCTTGTGCAGCAGATTTGCCTAATGCAAATACATCATTTGATCTCTTGACTGCTGCTTCCATGAGTGTTGATGATTGATCCGAGCAAAATGAAGTTTTTGACAACTTCAATTTTTTTCTTCATTTATCGTGATGTTATTTATTGGTCCAATGGTGAGGATTTTTGTTTTCTTTACATTGAGTTGCAACCCATACGGAAGGCTGTGCTCTTTGATCTTCATCAGTAAGTATTTTTAAGTCCTCTTCGCTTTCAGCAAGCAAGGTTGTATCATCTGCATATTGCAGGTTGTTAGTGAGTCTTTCTCCAATCCTGATGCCATGTTTTTCTTTATATAATCCAGTGTTTAGGATTATTTGCTCAGCATATATGTTGAATAAGTTTGGTGAAAGAATACTATCCTGGCACATAGCTTTCCTAATTTTAAACCATTCAATGTTCAGTCATCTACCTGGTGCTTCAGTTAAGGCAGGTTCAGAATTATTGCTGAGTAGGAAAAAAACAGAGTGCATAGGTGGTACAAATGTTTAATGTGCTTGGCTACTAACCAAAATGTGGGAGGTTTGAGTTCACTCAGTGGTGCTTCAGAAGAAAGGCTTGGTGATTTATCTCTGAAAAATTGCCATTGTAAACCACAGTTCTGCTCTGACACACATTGGGTCACCTAGAGTCAGAATCAACTTGATGGCACCTGGCATTTTGGGGGAACATGGACCATAAAAATGGATACACAGTGACATTTTAAACTAAGAGCTGTCAGTGTAGGTTTTCAAAGCAAATACGCCACAGCTTCCAATACCTCTTTTTGCTTTTAAATAGAGGTCTTTAAAACTCCTTTTTTCCATGTGCCACTTTGCACTGGCTAGACCTTCACATTTTAACTCAGTAATATGCAGCCTGACATTACCAACACCACTGTCCTGCTGTCATTTAAAATAGCATTGTCTTAGCCTTTCCTAAATTTCCCCTGAGACTTGTTAGCTTTGAGCAAATCCTCCTAAGACTAATCCCTGTGCACTAACTGTATTTATTTCTCCATCTTGGACAATTCACGGTACTATTCCTAATGCGAAAGGGACTATGTAACAAATAAGACAGTCCTTTCACAAACGTCTCTTAGGGATGTATGGAATCAATGAAGTTTCTGCTTACCTATAAAGCCATCAAAATGGTGTTCAAAAGAGAAGTTCATCTCAGTAACTATTATTTCCCTGTGACAGGGCAAGCCTCTGATTTTCTTTTCTTACTGAGGAGAAATTGTCTTGCTTTTCGGTGTTGTTTCATAGAGAGATACAAAGCCCAGGCCTCCATTCTCTTTCACAGGTCTTATAACGGGTCTAATGTGCATCCATTACTAGAATTGTCTTTGTGTAGCAATAGCAGGCCTATGAGTGGATCAAAAAGAAAAAATGTTCTCCCATTACTAGGATTCTGTTTGCCCCCAAGGATAGTAAACAGGATTATGTCTCATTATTATTTTTGTTTAGAGTAATACCCTTCACATATGCATCCGACTTGACAAAGCAGCATCTCATACATTCTTATGTTCTTTCCTTACAATGATTGAGGCATGTACTGAATGCTAATTATCCCATTCTGAGAGGTGAGGAAAGTAAAGTGTCCACAGGGCATACAGCATCCCCGGGTCCAGCTCCTCCTGAAAAGGATCATGCAGCCTAAATTAAAAAACAACAACAACAACAAACAAAGGCTCTTAGACTCAGTCTTCAGAAGAGGATCATTAAAAATCTATTTGCATAAGGTCAGACTTCTCAGAAATTTATGGAGACAACTATCACACAATTCTTTAAATATACTCAAAGTCACAAGAAACTTACTCTTCTCCCATGGTGACAGAGTGTTTCATTTCAACTGAAACCCAGAAAATGGAAAAGCCGGTGGCCCTCAGTGTCCAGAAGCTGCAGCATGGACACACACCCCAAGGTGCTGGTCATAAAAAGTGCCCATTCAGCACTTGCACTGCAGAGTGAACCCCAGGCTTTGTACTTGCTGCAAAGGTAATTTCCTTAATTGGCATCTTCTCTAAATTAATGGGTTTCGTAGTTTGGGCATGACTCCAAACACCAATTCTAAAAATGTCTTTTTTTTTTTTTTGAGAGATATTCTCAGATTTTGACCCCTGTCTTTGGGAATCCTCTGTAACATCAGTTTCTTCTTTCTCATTTCCTCCCAGTCCTTGGCCAATATGACAATTCAACAACTAAATTAAGTTTACAACCACCATGAAATAGAAGTAAAAGAAAGAGTATATATTAAAGACCCTACCACCACCCACCCACCCACACCCACACCTACACCCCCCCCACACACACACACAGAGTACACACACTACACACCCTACCTGGTGTGGACTGGTCTAAGCTAGGTGGAACCATTTTAATGAGAAGATGTCAATTTGTGACTGTTTTCTAACAAGAATGGTCCTGGTAAACTCAGAGCAAGAATACAGTCTCGACCCAATAGGGGACTTGAACTAGTTCACCAGATGTCTAATTAATGCCCCTTGTCAGCTGCTCAAATGTCACTGTCACTCATGAGTTCTCTCTTTTTGCAGCCACTGTTTTAATGATAGAGATTATGCGCTGATGTCGCTTAGCTCTTGGGTCAATGTTGTGGTTGGTAGGATGACTGGAATAGACCGAGTGGCCAAGCACGTCATGGTTTCCCAGGAAGAAATCGTGCTCTATGATCACCTCATCCTCTGTACTGGACAGCAGTACCAGGTAGGACTGCATACACAGGGCAACAGCTCCCAGGGTGGCGATTTACGTGTTTTCTGGGATACATGCTCTCTGGGTAAAAGGGCAGCCCTTCTTGCCCAGACAGCTGCCACTCTGTATTCATAAGTGTGCTTTTCAGGGCCTGCACACATCACCAGAAGTGTGTCCTCAAATCCTCCCAGCAACCCATTCCAAGGGAAACATTCTGCTCAAGGATAAAAAGCACAGCACGTTGAAGAAATGTCATTCTTTAAACTGTTGTTCCAAAGTCTAACACTTGCTGCTAACTATAGCCAGATCCAGACATAGCCAGGCCTGCATTTGTAATAAATTAATTTATGCCTCAAGAGGACAACCGTTTGGCAGTAGTGATGGGCACATGCAAAATATGTCAAACACACACACCTTCTGTCAGCCTTTATTGTATTTGGTCTCTCAGTTATGAAAGGAGGAAATCTGATTGATTGATAACCCAGTGATTCAATTCCCTGGCCACATTTGAATAAAGGAACTGAAGCAGCAAAATAGCTCAGAAAAGCACATTTTAATCTTTCCACTTTGCAGTACACATTTGAGTTTCATGTGACTCACAAAAGTAGATGTCTCTTCAATGAAAAGAAGTTTATTTGTAATTCAAGTATTGTTGTTGTTAAGTGCCATTGAGTTGACTCACAGCGACCCTGTATAGAGTTTCTGAGGAGCAGCAGCTGCTGAGTTTGAACAGCCAACCTTGTGGTTCACAGTGCAGTGCTGATCCTACAGTGCTACACCAGGCGTCCAATTCAAGTATGGAGTCCTTTAATTATATTTTTCATGCTGAGGAATCTGGATTTTGTTGCTGAGGAACGTGCTTTTGTTCCTGATGACAATCACAAAGAAGTTGACATTGTGTAGTAGCACTTCTCCCTGCCCCCATGACCCACCCTGCCATGTTTTATCTGGTACCATCTGTCAGTTTGTCGTACTGTGTTGGCTTATGTGTGTTACTATGATGCTGGAAACTATACCATCAGTGTTTAAAATATGAACAGGGTCACCCATGGTGGACAGGTTTCAGCAGAGCTTTCAGACTAAGATAAATGAGAAAGAAAAGCTTGGTGATCTCATTCTGAAAATTAGCCAATGAAAACCTTATGGATCACAATAGGGTATTGTCTGATTTGCTTACTTTGTACACATCATGAGGAGGGATTGATTGCTGGAGGAGGACTTCATGTTTCGCGACGTAGCTAGCTGGTGAGGACGAGGGAGACCCTCAGTGAGATGGACTGACACAGTAGCTACAATGACGAACTCAATCATTTTGGCAATTGTGAGGATGATGCAGGATGAGGTAATATTTTGCTTTGCTAGACATGAGGTCTCCATGAGTTAGAGCCGACTCAACAGCAGCTATCCACTAGCTACTATCTTAATTCAGGGATATATATATATACAGGTTTGTGTTCTGCAACTTTGGGCATCACTTAGCTAACCATCTCAGTCTTGACTCTACATTAAGATCACCTGGGCTTATTAAAAAAACTACACCGACAGGTTCCTAACCCTTACCTCCAGAGATGGTTGGGACCCTGTCAGTATTTTTCCTAAAAAGTTTCAAGGCTGAGAAGCACTGGCTTCAACTTTCTTGATCCCAAATCCCTCATCTTGAACTTAAAGCAGTATTTCCCACATTGTAATATGCACACAAATATACTATAGACTTTTTATAGAATGCAGATTAGGACACATTAGGTCTGGAGGGGGTTCTGAAATGCTGTATTCCTGGCCAGTTTGTGGACTGCTGCTGGTCTTGCTTGAGGTAGTGAGTTTTTAATCACATTTTGTATCATGTCCAATTTCCACTTGCTCAGAATTTTGACTGACCAACAGGAAAATCCTGTCTATCTTTTTTTCTTTCCTCCTCTTCTTTCTTTTTTTGCCTGTATCATTCTGATTTATTTATTTATTTATTTAATGTTTTATTGTGAATTATATGATAGTTTACATGGGAGAACCTTAGTCTTACATTCATTCCATCGTATATCATCTCATTGCCATGGTTCCAATCCCCTCCATGCATCATCAACCAACCAAAGGGTATATCCTAGAAAC